GATTTAATTTAATCTAACGATACAAGTTTAATTAACTCTATTTTATTAGAAAACTGAGCTTATATGATACAAGCACATTTGGGAACACGTTTTGGAGTAAGGTTCATCTTTAAATATGTAAAATAAATCTTTAACTTGACATGTAAAAATATATTAATATTTTAACATTTCCCAAAAGCATTATTATTAAAACTAGTGTAAATGTTGAAGTATGGATTGAATTAAAAGTCTATAGTTACATTCAATAAATTGGATTAATAATCCAATGATACATGCTTGACAAATTAAAGGTAACCCTTAAATTAACAATCTTTACGCAGTTGTTAGGTTGTGCATTAAAAACGTCTGCATTAGTCAGATGTAATATGCTTATCTTAAATTTTGTACTTTAGTTAGCTGATGGCAAAAAAAATCCAGAATAAAGATTTGAAAACATCCGTCTTTGGGAAATTAATCTGTATAATTTGCAACACTGGGTGAATTAACTTTTTAAACAAACCTTTTAATAAAAAGATATCTAAATGCATATGTCTGTTTATCATTACAATCTTAATATGCTTGAATAAACTATTCACTTTTGAAATACAGTTTTTTAAATGACTAAACGTAATAATCTATCATTATTTACAAAAAAAATATCAGTGTTTAAAAACAAAAATAAAAGTTTTATCTTATAATCTGTCCTGTTTCAAACGTCTGCTTTAGGTATGGAATTGGCAAAAAACAGGTTGGCAATGAAGCGACCTCCCACTTTAGCATAAACAGTTGCATGCAATACCCAAAAGGGGGCAGCAGAGTTTAAGAAATGGGTGCTTATACTTACTGCCAGTACTCAGGTGTAAGGCAAAAAAAAATACACTAATTAAATCTTTTATTTCATGTCCTATTATAACCTGGAAGTTGTCCTATTTCTACAATATTTTACATAAATAAGCTTTTCTATCCACCAGCAGTAAAAGTGACCATTAAGAAAGAGGAACACAGTGAGCAATTGTACCTTAAAAGAAGAGACAAAAGGCAAAACATTGTTGGGGCAAATAGTCAGGAATATTTACATTTTCAAATATTTGAGGAAAACTAGCTGCTCTCCATTTCCTCTTTAAATGCACTGCAAATCAAATGCACTTTCACTGCTTGAATGCATCACTATTTGCACATCCACAGTGTCCTTACAGTGAAAGTGCAGCTAATCCGAGCCGCACTGTGAATGGAGAGCTTTTTGCCCATCTGTGCAGACAGAGATGCCCCTGTGCTGTGCATCTTTGCTTGTTTGCTCTACAGTTTGTACATTTAGCCTGAGTTGGGGGGGTTAAGGGAAAGGCATCAATGATGCATGAGGCTGTTTTGCATCCAGTAGTGTTTTCAAAAGTTAGATTTAAATTTCAGTTGAATGTATTATACATAGATAGTCCTGATAGAGTGTCAGAAGCTACAAGGACAGTTCCAAAACCAGTTTAAATATCCCTAATCCCAATAACACTTAAACTATTCGGTTTTTATTTCTCAGTGGGAAATCTTAAATCTGCAGCTGTTACTCACCAACTTCCATTCTTCTTATCTAGCTTCATTCATACTCTTTAGCACATTAAAATAAATTATAATAAAGCATCCCTCACTAATGAGTATCATTACGGATGGGAAAAAACTGGTGTGCTCCTGGCGAAAGGGAAACAAAGAACCATGCTGGCACAACTGTGGCCGAGATCCAGGAAAAATGTGAAAATATAGCTAATTAGTACTCCAATGCCTGATCTGGTGTGAATAGCATCAGAGGAGCCTGAAACTGTGTGTGGCATTGGTGACAAGCAGCTTTATGAGCTGAATCCTGACACCTCAAATTAGGCATGCAATTAAAAAAAGGAGTATGAAAAAAGTGAAAACTGAGCTTCAGAATATGGTTTATTTTCTCTCTAAAAATCGTAATATTCTGCACAGAGGATGCCTGTTTTTAAGATATGCAAACAATGTAAGGGCCCATCTTAAAAAGTTAAGGGAATGAAAAAACTAAATGGAGCACAGAGGGAATAAAACACACTCATTCCAAGCTTTTTCAATACACCCCCTCCCCTTTCTCCCTTTCACACGGACATAAACAAATAGGCACAAACACACCTCGAAACAAAGGTGCCATTTTACTCAGGAAGGGTCAGCAGTTCTTCATCAGACAGGGGCTTGTTCTTGGTCCGAGGCTGCTGCCCAATCTCAGACCAGCCTCCCCTGGCTCCACCGACCCCCCACCTAAGCCCCCCAACACCACCACTACCCCTGAGACAAGCTCCCCATTGTTCCTGCACCACTAATAAATGACAGTTCTCCTGTTTAGGCAAACTTTAGAAAGTATTCTAAACACACTTGAGCTGAGCTTAAATAGCTCCCTATATGCAAAGATACACAACAGATAGCTTGCATGGAGGTCTATAAACCTCCAATCCGACAGTAATGATGGGAACATTTGTTCTTCTAATACAAACTTTCAACAGGTATATGACATGATGCAATTCTTAATTTGTTTTTGCAAAATAAAATAAAAAAATCATCCTAAAAACTGTTAAATAGGTTAGAAAATAGTCTTAAAAACAAAGCTCAGGTGATGAAGCATTCAATAAGCTCGCTCAAAGTCAGGAAACCAGACATGATAAGCTCATAAACACAACATTAACATACCACACCACAGCAACTCTATCTGTTTGCCTAAAGTACTATGCAAGGGGGGCTATTTTTCCCTCTTTGAGCCTGTATTAGCATGCCCAAGGGGTGGGGTACCTCACTGTGGCCACTCTGAAGTTTACTACAAGGTTTGAATTACCTGTTCATAAAGCTTCAAACACTTAAGGGTAGGGTAAATCCCTGGATCAATTAAGTATTAACTTTTGGTAGAGTATAAGAGGAATGGAATATCATAATTCAAGTAGCAAAACTGTATAATCGGTCCATTCTACTAAAATATGAGACAACAGATTAGTCATAATTCACGAATAAGTGCAGATCAAGAGAAATGTCCACTAAATTGGTTAGCAAATAAAAGCAAGGCTGTTATACATCTGATGTGGTTCACCACAGGTATATCATATCACAGTGCAGAACGCTCGTACAAAGTGGGTGAAGAGAAAGTGAATTCCAGCAATACAATCCTCGACTATACATTCAAACAGAGATGAGTCTACAAATGGACATTTTCATTCCAAAAACAGATGACCATATGAGTCTGAGCGAGCGAAGGTCACACCAACAGGCACATTCCCGCTCCGCTGTTTAAACCACAGAGGCAGAAGGAGGGAACCAGAGTTGTGAGAAGAAGAGTAAAAAAAAATCTTCTGTTTAGTCAAAGCCTGCTCACTGACACAGTCTGTCTTTGTCTGCCTCCCAGGGTGCCAGATAAAGGAATTCTTGTGTGTCGGGGGGCTATGACCGAGTTTATTTGACACTTCAGCCCCCTTTGTGCAGTGAGTGTCCCACCATCAATGCTGGCCATGAGAGTCACTTGGCATTAGACAGAGAGTCCCTCTTCAGCAAAGAAAGGGGGTCTTGTTTGGAGAAGATTTTTAATACAAGGGGTGGATGGAGGGTGATAAGTTCTCTTACTCTATGCATGCATACAGTACAGTAGGGCTCTTTTTATAAGTTTTAACACTAGGTTGATTTTTTAATTTTCATTTTTCTGATGAAGTGTGAGAGAAGTGAAAGCACACCTGCAGTGTCAGGTAGAGGTGCTGTAGCCAGACATAATGAGAGTCACTTAACAGGAGAGGAGCATCCAGACACAACCAGGTTACTGTAACCTGAATGGAGTCACTGTAAAGGAGGCGGAGGCTCACAGAGACCCACTCTGTGCATGCATTTATTTTTGTTGTAAGCGATCTTTAACAACCTGTAACAGGTCAGAGCTGAGAAGTTAAACAGGTGCATGGCTGCACCGTATTAAGGGTTGAATTTTAAATATTGTCTATCTGACTACATCAAATGTCTCAATCTGTTATAAATTGATTACATATCTATCCATAACAGCCTCTGTACTTTAGTAAAAGTGAGCCTGAACATCATATACACTATAAATATTAATTCTGGTAGGCGTTACAGCCATTTAATTTATTTATTATTATTTTTTTTATCATCTAAGCATACTAGCTGGTAAATTAGGTTGTAATACTAAAAAAAATAATTGGTTTATTTTGATTAAAAAAAAATCCCATTTTTTAGGTAGTTTCATGCAAGTTTTCATGTCCAACAGAATATAGTAAAGCTGATGTGATATTGCTTGAATTATAAATGAATATTAATTAACGAATAAAAACAGCAATTAAGTTTTCTTTTGGGGGACTTTCTGTGATGGGGTCAGAGTTTAAATTAGCATTCTTCTTTAGCAAAGTTAGCAGCAGTGCTAATGCTGGTATCAAATATAACAGCAATAATGCCAATGCAAAATAACAGCACATCTGTGGTTGTTATAAATCATGCCTATTTGTAATTTTGATTGTTGAAGAAATAGTTAAAACCTGACCTGTTTCAAAAACACATTATGTCTTAAGCATTTGTATGTTTATTTTGCAAATCATGGGAGAAAACAAGAACAACCAGAATCATTCCCCCTCCCTCCAAAAGAAAATAAATAAATAAGAATAAAACAGTTGGATTTTAACTTATCAGATGTCTTTTTGCTGTTAGATTTATATATATTTTCTATATTTTCATTTTGGAAAAATTAAATTAATGATTAAATTCTAATAGTTTTATCATCCCAAATTTTAATTAGGAATCCCATATTGGAATTTTATCTTAAGGAGCACTTTGGTTGAGAAAAAAAATGTCCAAAAGAGTGTGTTAGGAAGATAAGGATGAAACCTTTGACAGAAACAGACACTCTGGAAATAATAGATTATTCCAAATAGAGATCCATTGAAACAGCTGGTCCATTGTTGACCAAATGAGGTAACAGAGGGGGAAAAACGCACTTTAATAAATAAACATTTTACTGCTAATAAGCAAGAAACTGACTTACATACCTGATTGATGAGGAGAGTCACACTGACCATAACAGTCACTGGACATCCAATTAAGATAAGCTTTCAGTTATACTCCAGGATATTTCCTTATACTTTTTTTCCTCATGGTACGTCCAAATCCCCAAGTATGTATAAGTTGCATATATCCAGAAAAGTAAACATCTTCTTATTGACCACTCTGGAGCATGCGTGTATCCCAAGAGAATGGAGTGTCCAACAGCAGCAGCAAGACAGGAGCAGATCCAACTCATCCTGGGAAACATAAATCCTCTTTTTCATTCAAAACGATCCATAGTTTTGTTGTGTTTTAATCCATCAGCTGGTGCGAACAGATGAAAGCAGAAGTTTTCCACACGTGTCAGCGCTGAAAAGTAACATGTTTGTTTTAACTCCTCTTTTAAGCTTGTTATATATAGGAATCCTTAACCAGAATGGATCCAGGAGATTATTTCCGATCAGGACTCAAAGATGCTGGATCCTCCAATCGCTCAGTGCGGTGATGTTCTCCGTTGCTGCTCCGCTGTTATGATTCTCCCCCGTGAAGAGCCGCAGCTTCAATGAGCCATAGTTTGAACAGAGCAGAGCGACACACGCTCCCCTCAGCTCACTTAACTGCGCGTTGCATTATGGTAAATGGAGTTAGTTACAAACTGAAAAAAAATACATATATTAAATGCATATAGAGATTTCTACCACTGAAAAAGCAAACAAAGTTAACTGATTTTTAAATTTTATTTCAGTGATATATGAGAAAAAAGCCATAATTCTGACTTTAATCTCAGAATTCAGACTTTTTTCTTAGAATTCAGACTTTAATCTCAGAATTCTGACTTTAAACTCAGAATTCTGACTATAATCTGAGAATTGTGACTTTAAACTCAGAATTGTTACTTTTTTCTCAGAATTCTGATTTAATCTCAGAATTATGACTTTTCTCTCAGAATTCTGACTATAATCTCAGAATTCTGACTTTTTATTTAGAATTCTGTTTTCTCATAATTCTGACTTTAATCTTATAATTATGACTTTTCTCTCAGAATTCTGACTTTAATCTCAGAATTATGACGTTTTTCTCAGAATTCTGACTATAATCTCAGAATGCTTACTTTAATCTCAGAATTACGACTTTTTTCTCAGAATTATGACTTTAATCTCAAAATTTTGGATCTTAATGTAGATGGGCACCATGTAGAAAGAGATGTGGTAGCACTCAGCTTCACTGACAAAGATGTGAGTTGTTTGGGAGGGCCAGTAACACATTGTTGAAAAATGATGAAATTAGGCAACTTTTTACATGCCAGAGGGGTCCCAGGTGACGCTATTTCATTAATGGAATTACCAGATGGATTTAAATCAGTTTTAATTATATACAAAAGATTTTTTTATGAAAATAGTGACTACTGGAATTTAAAAAATAGTAAGAAAATATATTTTCTCTTAGATTTTAAGTAAAACTAACATAAAGGTTTATGTTATTGCCGCAACAGCCAGAAATAGATTAGTTTATAAATTGAAATGATCATTATAATGCCTCTGTGATCAATTATCATCTGTTTGGACAGATTCCAGGTTGCGTGTGAGCAGTGTGTGATTAATAATGATCATGTGTCGCTCCGCAGAGATACAGCGATGCCTTGAATCACCCTCCCATGAATGAATCTCTTGTCTCTCTTACCTCACTTTCATGTCCTAACCACCTCCAGGCTTGCTTGTATATCTGGGATCATAGCTTCCTTTAAACTTGACAAGGAGAGAAAACGAAAACAACAACTGGATTTGAAGGAGTGGAGTACATAGCAAAAAGACACTGACTAACCACCTGTGAAAAAGCTCAGTACAGTGAAATAGATTCCTATCTGCTCTGATGGGAAATAGTTTTTTATTTGCAAATGTAAATATTTTTCAAATAAACTGCCTTAGGTCTTATATAAAAAAGTAGATTTGTTTCCTGTACTACATATTTAACATATAAACCTATGCATTTTTATTAAATGCCAAAATTCGGAAAAGTTCTTTTTTTTTTTCAACCAATGTAATATGTATTGGGGGGTATTTTATGTGATAGACAACAAAAAGCTGCAATAACTGTTAAGTCTCATAAAAAAAATATTGATGGTTTTAAAGTTGTTATACAATTAAAAATCTGAGAATATGCTTATTTTGAAAAAAAAAAAAAAAAAAAAAAAAAAGCATCCCCAATGTATGACATTGCTATCACCTTTTTCTACCACAAGGACAGGGTTGCAAAGTTGTTACTTATTATTGGATTTCCTCAAAGCATGTTTTAACAAACAAGCTAAAAAAGTGAAACTGGTCATTTGACCAAAGCAACTTCTTGCACATATTTGCCATGCACGACATGTGGCAAGGTAGACAAGAGAGGACTTGAGCAGGATTCAGTCATCAGCTCCCAGGTGAAAGACATGCAACCCTGACCAGTCGGCCAATGGGATATTCCCTTGGCCAAGTATTTATTTTTTTTAGAACTTCCTTTTGCTCTTTACCTTAACTAAATCTACAACACACACTGGTTTCACACTCTTATGCATTATATCTGCGCAACAGGTGAAGCTCCACTCCAGCTTTTCCCAAGCTCCTTAGGCCAAGCTGCAGCAGAGTCCGGGACTACCTGAATTGCACGCGATTCTGTCAATTGCAGGTACTTGATGGCTTTCTTGTATGCAGGGTTGAAAAGTTGCTGAGGTTTGCGCACATGGCATTGCGTGACTAGAGCTCGAGATGAAAACACAAAGACATTGTTTTCAGTGATCAAACCCCCTTTATAGTAACTCAGCAGCATTCCTGTCTCGCATTCCTGAGCCACCGCTGCTGTGTGAAGGGTTTTCTTTTCCTTTAGAGGAAAAAAAAAGGAAAAAGAGAAAAAAAGGGGGTAATGCATTTTTGTCTGGTTCACTGTGTTGACCTCGCTTTTCTCACACAAGTTCTCACTATATTCAATACTGATGAATTAAAAGTGCATTAAGCATGATCAGATATCTAATGAGGGTAATTAACTGGTAGCAGTTCTTAAACCAAAACTATGCAGCAAATTCAAATAACATAGCCAGAAGCTCTCTTTACTTTTATACTTAGCTTTACAAAATGTTTAGATATAATTAAATTGCATCAACTCGTTTTTTCACATGTGGTATATGTCTGTAATCATAGCCCTGTATGGACAAAAGAGCCTAAAATGTGTGTGTGCCCAGTTTTAGGTATGTAGTAATCAGAACTAAAATGTTTTCCAGATTGGTGTGACAGGGCTAATCATCTCCAGAGAGTAAAAACTGTTCTGAAGTTTCCACCCATCTGCTGTAACAGATGGTAGAAATGCATGTGAAAATCCAGGGAAAATGTGGCAGGGATAGTGTACTATAGGAAGCCTCAGGATAATCTTAAGCAGCATTAACATTTTATTTGGCCTTTTCCACTGAGATACAAGTGTCAGATTTATGACATGTAGAAATCTTCTGTACTCTGGTAACATTTTCTGACACCAAAGGCTTTATAAAAGCTCTGGGTTCAAGCAACACAGAGGACAATCGAGTCACTCATATCTCCATCATAAGCTCTGAGAGTGATTAAGACTGGAGCAAATTCAATACTTGTTCAGCTCAGACAGAGAGGGGCTTCAGAGCTGAGCTCTTGTGTTGGGCTGTTTGGATGTTCTATTCCCTTGTATCTCTTTGACTACCTCCAAAACAAGGCTCTATTCAACCAGAGTGGGAACAAATGTTTCCTTATTTGGCTCCAAGTGGCCCAACTTTAGCATCATGATAGACAACAAGGCTCTAAGAGACCAGAAGAGAGGGCTTATAAAGTATTTTAGTATGAGATGAGTGGTATTATTGACTGGAAGAAGACAAATGCTTGTACAGAAAGGATATATATGACAGGGCAAAGCAAGTTTATTTGTTATATTTCAAAACCAAGACAATTCAAAGTGTTGTAGATGGAAAAATTAAAGGCTCTGGTTCTAGATATGAAAAGTAGACTTGAGCTAGAAGACCTGAAAGGTGTGAGGGGTTTAAATACGGAAAACAAGTTTGTAAAGTATTTTGGTGATAAGCCATTCAGTTATTTCTGACAATCAGAAGAATTTTAAGGTCTATTCTCTAAGCTAGGAGCTAGTGTAAAAACTTAGAGGAACCAGAGGTAGGATGAGCAAATTAGATTAATTTCCTCATCCTGCCTCCGGGAGCGAACAGCCATATTCACTAACCTGGCAGTAGCGAGATTTACACGTGTAGAACTCAGTTGAGTTCTGGGATGGCTGCTGTTCAGTCTATCCATGAAAAGCAGGATGTTTAGTGCAATACTTCAAGCTGATTGGGTGACGTGCCAGCTAGTACCCGCCTTCCATAATACGCTTTCAGCCAATTGCAGCAGCGAATCATGGTGTTTCGTAAGCTGATAACTCAAACTTTTTTCGAATCCTGTCGGAAGTAAAGCACAGATATCTTTCCCATCTGGAAATGCACAAAGTGCTTCTCTTTACTCCTTTTTTAAATGAGAAATTGTTACTATATTTGAGATAAAAACCAAGTCAATTGCGGTATCGACAGGTGAGTCCTCCAGCGTAGACATGTTTGTAACACCCCAGGAAGGGCCTTCTGACTGTCATCCCGCCCCAAAAAAACAATGCCGGCCTGTCATTGGTCCGGCTTGCTGGTTGTTCGGAGAAGGACCTATTAGCAGGAGTCTTTCAAGATTGATTTGTTGTGAGACTGAAACCTCAGATTTCGCAGTAATTCAGCTTGCTGCGCCCGGTTTGTGTATTCACAGCACTGCAATGGTGATGATGTAATGCTGTTTTCTCTGTGACAGTTTACTATGAGACCACCAGACGTATTTGGTGACAGCAACAAGCATCATGTCATGCACGTTTTCTACTGCTACTACATAAGAAAAACACAAGTTCATGTATCAAAGCTGTCGGGATTGTGCATTCAGCATTAAATGACATCAAAACCGTAGGTAAATTCAGTCCCCGAATTGCAGCACAATATACAACACATAGCATATTGAAGGAAAGTGGTTGGGCTCGTTGTTTTTGGTTTTTAATGCTTAATCATCAGTAAGTATTACCAAACTGGACATGGATGTGAATTTTTTCCCAATTCCTTCCCCCAGGTCCTCTAAGAACTGGGTTTCCACTTTCTAAATTTTGGTGAGGATGCAGGCAGCAGCATTCTGATTGACTTTTTTGGAAGAGCTGTAAGACGCCATTGTGTAATAAGTTCTCCTGAAGACCGCTCATGAATGAGTTTTCATAGATCCTGCCAAGACATTGGGTCTATTGATCAATTCTTTAAGGATGCCTATGCGTTAAGGTCTGAGTCCGTCTCTACACCCAGAATTTGGTGGTTTCCAGCTGTATTAACAGAAGCTGTGTGATAAGAGTTCAATTATTTCTTCTATGCATATACCCAGTGCTTGAAGGGATTCATAATCCTGTGATGACATTATATTGTACAGCTGTGTGTCTCTGCATATTCATGGTAACTAATGTTTTTATCTTAGTAAGGGGTGTAAGTAGATAGTGAATAAAAAGGGGCCCCTAGGTAGGCTTTTGAAGATTACCCCATGTGATTTTTGTGGTTCGATTTATAGTTACCTACTGACACCAAAAAGGACTTGCCCTTCTTGTGTGATTTAAACCAGTCCAGTGCTGTATCAGTAAGCCTAACCTAGATTCCCAGGCATGTAGTAAAATAAAATAAGGTTCACTAATACCGGCACCATGGTTCTTTCACAGGCAGCATTTATGCAGATGTAATTAAACACCTTTATACCCAAGCGTTTCATTTTACTAATTTATTTTCATAGGGAATTGATATGGGAAATCACTTGGACAACCTAAGACCACATTCTATGTTGGCAGCTGGTGCAATTTTTAAAGCCAACTTGCAGAGTTCTGTGCAATTAGGATACAAAATGAATAAAGCTAAACCCTGATCAAGGCAATGTTTTAAGCTTATGTATGTAAGGATTCTTAATGTAAAAAATGTACTCCTGAGCCTGTTTTTACATCACAAGAAATATCCTGATCATCTTTTTCTTCATAAGCAAACAGGATAAAGAGGTATTCCTCTTGTGCAATGACACTGATCAAGCCTCCTTCAAGAAAGTCACTGAGTCAGTTCTACAAATAAGTGAATCAAGTCACGTAATAAATGACAGAACACCCTGTTAGATCCACGCCAACGAAAAACATTTAGGCACACTCAGGCTCACATTTTTTGTTAAAAATATTTCCTATTTAAGCAACAGCAGTAAAAATTTTGAAATCAAAATCAGGTTTTAAAGCATAGTTAAATGCCAATATCGACTTGAAACAATCAACCTTTCTACTATTTTATAATAATCTGATGCTATGACCTACCCCATTGTTTATCGGCCATTTTTATAGAGCTATTATACAGTGCAATCAAGTTGTATCCAAAAAAAAAAAATAGACAAAGAAGTAATAAAAAAAAATACGACGGAGTATTAGGGCCACACATGAAGAGAAAAAATATTTTTACCATGACGAGATTAAACTCGACATGTCAAACTCGTCATGTCGACTTTAAACTCGCCATTTCGAGAATAAAGTTGAAATGTCTTGTTGAGTTTAATCTCGACGTGTCGACTTTAAACTCGCCATTTCGAGAATAAAGTTGATATATCGTGGCGACTTTAATCTCGACATTCCAAAGTTTGGAGAAAAGAGCAACCGCGCTCCACAGCTGCAGTCTGCGTTTTAAGAGTGAAGGTAGTCTTTGACGTGCTGCAACTGTATAACTGTATAATCATCACAGAAAGTATAATTTGACCAAATCATCTACACTAGGCACGTCTGATTCTGGATTCTGTGCATGTAACCGGTGCAGCGGTTGGCTCTCTTGAACCAATTTCTACTTTATTGTCGACACGTCGAGATTAAACTGAACAAGACATTTCAACTTTATTCTCGAAATGGCGAGTTTAAAGTCGACATGTCGACTTTAAAGTTGACATGTCGAGTTTAATCTCGTCATGATAAAAATATTTTTTCTCCTCATGTGTGGCCCTAATACTCCGTCGTAAAAAAAAAAACATAAAACATCACATCTGTATCTGAAAAGTTAGATCACTCTGTGCTCAAGGGAGAGCTGCAATGGAACAAAGAGCTGAACACAGCTCATCCAAAACAAAAGCTGCCAACTGAATTTATCAAACGCAAATACCTGCAAAGTAGGTGTTGATGTTTTTTTTTTGTTTTTTTGTTTTTTTTGGAGGGGGTGGGGGTTTCAGAAAATGCCACAATACTGAAAGACATTAGCTGAGAAACAGAGAGATGCATGTCTGCATGCAAACTAATGACCTGATCTTCATTGAACTCTGAATCTTAATCAGAGGAGGATGTTCTAGCTCAACTGTCTTTCTGATATTCTTGCTTACATGCCACTTAAAATATTTGAAACTATATTTCAAATATCTAGAACAAGTAAGATCTCAGTTAATAAAAATGTATAATTTTCTGGTCTGCGTGTGTCTGCATGTGAGTGCGAAGATGATGGAGGTGTCAAATATTCTGCCAGAAGCTTGGAGTGTGGCAGGGCATATGCGTGACTAAGAGGAATACACCTGTCTCTGTGCTCAGGTATGGAGGGGGAGTCGGCACGCAGGGGCCTGCCAGCTGAACAATGCTCTCTTTTGTACCTGCGCTTTGACTGAAGACACTCACTAGGTAGAAAGCCCTGATCTAAGTGTGTGTAAGAGTGTGCAGCTGTCTCGCGCTATCTCTGCTCTCACACAACCAAACGACTTTACTTGCAGAATTATTTATAGTACACATATTTTTCTGACCAGATGCGCCCTGGGTTTCAGTAAATCCTAAAATGTTGCCTTTTGCACCTTAGCTGCCAATCTAAGCTGAAGCAAATATAAACTATACTCCCACTAAGGCTGTTTTAAAAAAAATATTTTCCAATTCTTAATAGCTTCTCATAAAAATTTCTAAAGATGGATTCATATAGCCATAGATTCATAAAAAAAAAGTAAAATTTCCACTGTCTTTACTTCCCCCATTAACTTCTGTTACTTTTTCATTTTGCTGTCTAACCTTAATATAAAACTAATATTAATATTTTTTATAACCACACAATTACACATTTTATTCAGGTTACAGATAAAAAATGTTTTGATACCAGCATCAAATTACAGATGAGACTAGATTGAAAATAATTGCTTCTGATCTTGAGAATCTTGATCAATTATTGAAATTTGAATCGATTCCCATTCCTAACTCCCACTATTTTACTCTTTATTGGTAAGAAATACGCTTTTTATTTAGGCTCCCAATTTAGGGATTTAACTTGTAAAATAAACATACAACTGTTGTTAATAATGTGTTATCTCAGAAACACCTACCCATGTTATTGCAGGATCTTTATTTGCAGTTCAGATAAGGGAAGCTTGAGAAAGGGAGTTGTGACTCTAGATGGGAGATAGAAATTCAAGTAAAGACTCAAAATGAAAACAACAGTGCCTGTTGGCATGTTGCATCTATTTTATATTTCTGAATGCTGTTTATCATTCAGTTTAAATGCCAGTGTAGGATAAAAGACAGAAAGTAAGAATAAAGTTTAGAATAAAGGAAAAATGGTATAAACCATATACGGTAAGAAATATAATTTATCTGATACTGGTTCAAGATGTTTGGTTTATGTGCTTCTATAATCACAAAGTTTGGTTTTACTCCTTTTCTAGAGATTAAAGCACATTTAGTCATCTATTCCTGGTAAATTCATTGCTGTGTGAGTGTCTCTGATAACTTTGGTGAATGTGTGTTGTGTGTACACAAGTGTGCTCACTGACTAATGCAACACAGTCTTCATAAAGGTAGTATTGTTAAGTTGCGTGCGAAGCTCACGGATCCCCGCCCACCCCTGTAAACCACGGCCTTTTTTTTCCTCTCCTTTTTCTGCCTTGTACACCTTCCCCTTTCTTTTTGTTGCAGGTAAACATTTGATGTCCGCACGCAACCCCCGGAGAGTCTCCTCCCCTTGTTCTCTCCTCCGCTCCCCGGCTTCCCCTCAGTTGTTACTCACATTAGCTCACACACACGCTTACACACAGTCACTCTCACCACTTATGTACGCTCACCTCACACTTTCTTTCTTACCCATATCCACACTGACACGCAGGCCTTCCCTCCCCATTCTTCTGACATTCCTTTTCTCACTGACTCAGCACCTGTTTCCTATGAAGGTTATAAGGTTTATTTTGATTGAAGGCTGCGTATGTTTACTGATTACCAACAGCACTCCAAGACTTAATCCCACCATTTTAAATTCATTAGATTAGAATAGAATAGAATAGAATAGAATAGAATAGAATAGAATAGAAAACCCCTTTATTGTCCCACAATGGGGAAATTCTGGTGCTTACAGCAGCAAAACGATTAGAGAAAAAAATGGTCACAAACATGTAGACCTAAAAAAAATGTAGAAGAATAAAATAATGACAAGATATGAAGAGTTAAAAGATAAACAATAAAATACTGTACTGTAAAGTTTTTTAACAATATGAAACTGTGCACCTGGACAATGAATAACCAATATACAGCTATGGACGTAATGGATATTTGAAAAATAGCAGCAACATCAGAGATGTGCAAAATGACAGCGGCATGTTATTGAACTGACTAAGATAGAAACTGTGCAAAATCATCATGAATGTAACAAATTACTTAGGCTGTTGGGAACAGTAGTGGTTATAAAGTCTTACAACTGCTGGGAGGAAGGATCTGTGATAACGCTCCCTGGTGATTTTTAGGGTGCAGCAGTCTGTGACTGAAGGAGCTCTCTAGTTCTGCAACACCTTCATGCATGGGGTGGGAGACATTATCCAACCTAGATGTTAATTTAGTTAGGATCCTTTTGTTTTCCACCTCCTGCACTGAGTTCAGAGGGCATCCAGTCACAGAGCTGGACTTCCTGATCAGCTTATCCAGCTGCTCTTCTCAGCTACAGATAAGCCACTGCTCCAACAGACACTTACTCCAAAACACCTCAGTCTCCTCAGCGGGAAGAGTCCGCTCTGACTCTTCTTGTATAGAGCCTTAGTTTTGTGATTCCAGTCCAGTTTGTAATTCAGATAAACACCTTTGTTCTTATAAGAGTCCATCTCATTGTCTGTTCCCTGGATTTTCATCAGTGTCACTGGGGTGGATCCAATATTTTCTGTTTAACGCATTATTATTAATCCATCACTTAATTCTGCTATCTAAGCAGGTCCATTTTTACCTTGTTAAAAAAAGCATAGAAAACATGGAAGACTACAGTAAATAGTGAAAGTGTTTCTAATTATAATAAAACATATATCCGAATCCTTTAAGTTAACCAGTTTTAAATATTTAAAATAAAAAAATATATATATTTTGGCCTCTAAATTGTTTGTATGAAGATTTCTAAGAGCATCATTTTTCTTTCTCAAGGAATTTAGCTTTTGCAAAGGGAATTTTCTTACCTTCTGGCTTATAGCTTTGTTTAGCTGAGCTGAAAATATATCTACTATAATCCCGAAACCAGGATGGATGATAAACTGGACACATAGGGTAAAAATTTAGGTGGAAATTTGTTAATTTTCCAATTTTCCTTTAGAATTGTTTTTTTTTTATTCACATTGATATTTACAATTCAAAGACCCCACATTTAGTTTTTTCATTCTTTTTTGTATATGATAGCACTATGATCATTTAAATGAAACAAAAATAAACAATTATTAGATAAAACACAACAAAGGGAATGGATTTTGTTCTCATCTCCTTTCTTCAAAGAACACAGATCTTAATTGCTCCAACAAATCATCCATCTGATTTGTTGTTGATCTTTCTTGTTAATTCAGGGAAATGTCTGCATACCTTTATATTACATATTACATATTTTACAGATTCAGGTAAAATGTACAGTGTGTTTAGAACTTTAAGTCAAATTTCTCCCTTTCTGTCAACATTAGTCTTGTAAATACACATTTGCCTTTGCAGCAATAATGTAATCCAGAACACAGATTACCCTACATAAAAGCTGAAGAACAACGTGAAGCAAAAACAAAAATATTTACACACCACAATACAAAATTAACATAAGAAATTAATATAATAAGAAAAACTTAGATGTTTGACCAACTTACTTTGCAGCAACTTCACTTGTTTCAATATAGGCTTGCGCTTTACATGTGTGTTCCTCTTTGTTAGTAGAAATTAATGTAATAAACATATTCATACAGGTTGTTTGCCTGTGTTGCAAATGTAAGGATGGATGGATGGATGGTGGAGGGAGGGAGGGAGGGAGGGAGGGAGGGAGGGAGGGAGGTAGGGAGGGAGGGAGGGAGGGAGGGAGGGAGGGAGGGAGGGAGGGAGGGAGGGAGGGAGGGAGGGAGGGAGGGAGGGAGGGAGGGAGGGAGGGAGGGAGGGAGGGAGGGAGGTAGGTAGGTAGGTAGGTAGGTAGGTAGGTAGGTAGGTAGGTAGGAAGGAAGGAAGGAAAATGCATAAAAAATAGCATTTGTGTCTTAACTTGGGATAGGCTGTTGTCCTATCAAAAGGTCCAAAAAATGAAGAATATGACATGTATTAGAAAATATTATCAGCAAAATAATTTATAGACCAATTTCAATCCTTATATGTTAGACTATGCTTCATATACTGTGACTATCCACATTCCAGATTTCAGAAAGTAAGGAAACTCTGTGTATATATTATCACTGTGTGTAAGAATGATTGCAATCTAACAGATGTTTAACTATCACAGAGGGTAATAAAACAAGCCCAAATCTGGAGTATAAGAGCCAGCTTTGCTACCTGTGCCAGCCATTGTCAGTCACTTCCTTCAAGCTGCTCTCAAACACAAATGTTATGTTTGAGAAGAGATCTGACACATTCTGACACCCCATGCCTATCCCAGTTTGATTTTAACATGCTGATCTATATGCAAGAGAGATTTATCACTATTTATGGAGAAATCACACCTGTAAAAGCCCCCTGTTGGCTGGTCTACAAACTTAAGAAATTATTTCAATGCCTACATTGTTGTCTTTAATAATTGTCGCGCTTCATTCTTTTATCAGCTGCCTTTTGGCTTCATCTAAACTGTGAACTGTATTATGCAAATACAAATAGCTACAGTACCAGTGTGATAGCCTACAACAGGGCTATGTTAAATGAATATTAGATTTGTTTTGCCTCCAACAAGTTACCTATTGTTGTGCTGGCCTTTCTGTTGCTCTGGAAAAGCCATTCAAACAAGATAATCTGTCTGCGTCTCGTCAATGCAGTGTACTGTTCAGCTTTGCAAAGCAAAACATTGAGACAAAGGGTTTATTTAAATGGGAAAATATGAAGCAACTGGCCTAAAAGAAAGAACGGATACTTCTCAGACTCTCTAGCATTCGCTGGCTCAAAGAGTGTGAACCAGGAGCAGACGGCAAAAAACACTCCATGCAAACAGACTTTTACGACTCCCTTAGCTCTCCTGTAACTTTAACCTTTGGCGTTTGTCTGTCTATTGTTTGTGAACGCTGAGTTCATTGCTGCTCCTCTGGGAACAATTGCCTTTGTCCACATGGAGCCAGTGGATGTCCCGGATAGAAGGTGTGACAGCTGGGTTAGAGCAGTGAAAGGGTTGATTGTCCTTCCTCACATCCCAAGGTGTGCCTAACAATGTGGAAGCATTATGGTGAAGTGAGTTTTCTCTGGAAACTTGCACACATAGCTGCTGAATGAGCCGTTGTTTCTTTTCATTAAGTGTATCGGCTAGGTAAGAATATATTTGAGTAAGCATCCAAGACATACAATACAGTTTCTGGAGAAAAAAAGTAGGGGGACTTCAACATTTTCTCTGACTTTTAATGCCTGAGGTTCAAAGATTCCATATAGTGGTGCAAAACTGCTTGTGCAAAAGTGGCTAACAGGTGATAAACAGTTTCGGAACACCCAATTTAAATGAAAAAATTATGTGAACTACTAGCCTGTAAAAGAGAGATGAAGTTGGCACTCCCATAGCATGGATAATAATGTAAGACCTCCAATTGTCAACAATTTTCTCTAAAGCTTAAGTTCATATACTGAAAAAAATGTTACTATGTTAAAGTTATTGTTATAAAAATTCAGACTTTATGTCTCCTTTGCTGATATATTTAATCTATGAGGTCATTTTGTGGATTAAACTGCTTATTCTTTTATAGCTGTTAATTTATAACAGTTTCCAGTGATCTATTCATGGCCATCTGTTAGAAAATTTGGCTCAGACTTGTGACTCAGGCCCCGTCCACACGAAGACGAACCCTGGCCTAAACGCACAAATTTTTCACCAAACCAGCCTCTCATCCACACGAAGCCGGCGTTTCGGGGGTCTGTAAACGATCTTTTTTTTATTCAGCCTTCAGAGTGGGAAGATTTCGAAACGCCGTTTTCGCGTTTCCATCTTTACGCTCTAACCGCATATTTTTTTTTACACGCATGCGTCATAGCGTCGCCTCTACACACGCATGCGCGACCAGTATCACAACAACAATGGCGCCGTTGCTGCTAATGCTACTCACCCTGCTGTCGGGCTTACAACAGAATCTTCTTCTTCTGGAATATCTCCAGGAAGAACAGAGCAATATCGACGACATAGTTCAGCACCTGAATTTGACTTAACCACGAAAATGGACCCGCAGGGCAACCATGTATAAATATTAGTGCGCATGCCCAACATTTCGTCGCTTATTTTTGCTTTGGCACCACAGCGCCACTTACAGGCCTGGCATACATTTTGCAGCGTTTTCATGCATTCGTGTGGACGCTCACATTTATTTTACGTCTCCGTCTTTACGGCAAACGTTTTGGAAAAAATCAGCGTTTCGTCTTCGTTTTGACTTCGTGTGGACGGGGCCTCAGAGTTGTAAAAAAAAAAAATCTATCAGCAGGCAAGCATTCAGGTTTTGTTATACCTGTAATTTTTAGAGGTGTGAAATCAGGGGCGTCTCTAGGTTTAAGAGACAAGGGTGTCTCAGCCCCTAGAAGATATTGCGCGCGCAAAGCGCGCGCTGAAATTTTTTCAGTGCACCTGCTAAGGCGTTGTCTAAGACAAGGGTGTAACTTTGTGTTGAAAGTTGGTGGGGACGGCTCATAAGGAAAGGGAGCTACCTGCACGACGCCTTTTTTTTTTTGTTGGAAAGGATAAAGCCAAAAAAATGCGAATAACATTTATCAATTTAATGCTTACAGTTGAAAACATAACTGTTACAATATTCACTTATATATTTTGTGCAAAAAATATCACATAAATCTAAACAGACAGTACAAATCAAAGAAATCAAATAAATATATCATTTTTGTAGAACATTTATTGACAGTCAATTTTGGGTCACTTTTTAAAATTAATTTACTTTTAAACCAGGACTCGGACAATATCTTATGGGGCCTTAAGCAGAATATGATTAAGCAACTCCGTCTTTCTGTCAAGAACATCCACCAGCAGGGTATCCAGGGGGGGATTCACCATTAGGCAATACTAGGCAGTTGCCTAGGGCCAAAAGTTCCTGGGGGCCCCATAAAACTCTGTTTCCATGTATGGTTAATACAACTAATCCTTATTTGTGCACATTAAATGTTTTTGATAAAAATCCTTTGGCTAAAATGCCATCAGAACGCTGATAAATAGAGAGGAAAAAGGGACAAGAAGAGAGGGACACAACCTAGAACAAATAATGGATGTCTATTCTATTAACATTTCTCTATCTGTAGAATGGGTCTGTTTTATGGGTTTTCTTCTCAGGGGGCCCCCTGCCTGTCTTTGCCTAGGGCCCCAAATTTCCTAAATCCGCCCCTGAGGGTATCAATACTAATTTGATAGAATCTGGGAGAGCGGACTATGTTCAACCATCCATTTTCTTTAACCTTATCCCTCAGTGGGATCAGGAGGTGCTGGTGCATATCTCTAGCCACGTTCTGGGTGAGAGGTGGGATCACCCTTGACAGGTCACCAGTCTGTCGCAGTATGTTCAACCAGCTTAAAAGTAATCGGTAATCAGATTTATTATTTGCACTTTTACTAAGTGAACTTTCTAACTCCCTTAAATCTGAAATTCCAATGCCAAAATTGTTTAAATCTTTTATCTTTGGACCCCATGCAGAGTGACGTCACACCTCCCTGCTAGATTGCAAAAAGCAGCTTGCTCATGAGTTGTCAACTTAACACGCTAAATCTTAAATGTAGCCTACGTGTACATATAAAAGAAAAAGGGGCGCAGTGCTTGCTACTGAATGGCAACACTATCAAGGTCAGGAAAAAGTTTTAAGTAAAGCCGGGATTAAAACAGTAGCTACAAGAAGTTTTAAATAAAAGGTGTTCTTTATGTTCAACCTAAACACCAACTCCGATAGACCATCAGTAGAGCAGGTGTTTAAATTTATCAATCACTGCTGCGAAAGCTTATAGCAGTGAAAGCTAATATACCACAGCCATCACTTAATAAACGCAAAATAAACAACCCTCTAAAAACTGAAAACTGTAATGGACTGAAAGTCCTGTTTTTTATGTGGGAAATTATTTGCGTGTGTTTTAGTATAATTCTGATATATTGGCGCTGTTGTCTGTTTCTATGGCAACGATACTGAATGTAGTGTAGCTTAGAGACCTGCATGGGTCGAGTTTTACCAACCCGCACCCGCCCGAACCCGTTAGGATGACTACCGAACCCGACCCGTCACCCGCGGATATCTTCAATTCAAATCCAAACCCGACCCGACCCGTTGATATTTAACCCGCAACCCGACCCGTTAACACATCATAGGCTATCGGTTCAGTTATATTTTAAATACGGTATTAACTTATTTTTACACTATTCTCTATTCTTTTACTACTTTAAGCCTCTCCTGACTAAAATTAGGTCTTAATATTTCCACAAGTCCCTCTCACCTGCAAGTCTGAGTCCACTTCTGTCCCTGAATGGGTTAGCATTTTTGGAGGGAAGCGACAGGTGTTATGGAGAGAGGGCGGAGGGGGGTGATGGGGAGAAAGCGAGAGGCAACAGATTCTTTTTTCTGAGTTTTTTTTGTCGGGGTTTGTGGACGGTGAGCAGCGGGGAGAACTTTTTTTATTTTCTTTCTGAGGAGCGGCATGAATGGGGTTTTAATCAGATATACACAGCACCGAAAGCAAAAT